TGTCTATTCAGTTATTTCTAGTTTGTTTAATCAGTACATAAACAGCAGTGTTTTTATGGACTGTTGTTCAGGCGTACTGCTTTCTGTGGATTAGGCCGCTAAGCTAACCACCTTCTGGACCCAACTTTGTCAAATGGGAAGGTGAATATTCTTGTGCAGATCTCTACATGAAAAGCAAATGAGCATTCTTAATTGCATATTTGAAATGTTTTTTCTTTCTCATTGGTTCTAGCTAATCAGATTTATGCTTGCTGACATGTACATCTGCCAGCTCATTTAACCTGAGGACAGACCATATGTTTCTATGGAACATGGAATCATTTTTTAACCTCTGACTCCCAACTTCCCATCTCTGTCTTTCTCCTAGGAGGGGGGAGAAACTGTGGTGTTCATGAGCTCATCTGTGCCAGACGAGGTAAGATGTTAAAACCAACCGTGCCACTGCAAAAATGTGTGTCTCCATAAGCATATAAAAGCGAATGTGTATTTTTAGCCTGTTTGGTGAATGGCCATAGTCAGAGATTAGTACGTTTAAATATGTATCCCAACTGCTCAACCTCTCTGTTTCCTGTGAATTTTTGCTGGTGTCTAGTGTATGGAATGGTTTTCTATATAGACCTCAGAAAGCATAATGTTTGTGTGTGAATTATGCATGGCATATCAAGTTTTAGTTCACTTCAGCAAAAGAAGGCAGCTGTGTGTTCATGATTTATTCATCGAGGAGGTTTTGTTTCCTACCTGAGGTCCATGTGTAAGCAACGTAATTCCAGATTTCATATAATTTTTAGACAAGGTCCAAGGTTGTTATTCATTCAATTTTTCCGTGGCTGCATTTTCATGTTTGTCAGTCAGCTTGCAGGGAGTCATTACCTGGAGAAAAAAAAAGCAGATTGAGTCCTGAGGCTCAGTTCAGAGTTCGGAGTTCAGCCTCAGTTCACTCTGTAATAACAGATTTATTTGATTATTTTTTTGCCTGGTTTATTCTGTCCCGACACAAATTGTACATGCACACATTCAGGGAGGAGGGAATGGGGTGAAAGAGGCGAGCTGAAAAATCCACTTCAATCTGCTGTGCTGTTGGAGACTTTCCTGAGAATGATGGGTATTACATTAAAAATGGGTGGGTGAACTATTGAAAGGCTGACTTGCGACACAGCTCCACTTTCCAGTGTACATTGATGGAGGGATCAGGTTACCACAGGTGTCTAAATTATTCAGCTGTCTTTGACATTTACAGAGCAGGGCCATGTATGAAGTGTCATCACATCGGGGCACAAGGCCTTAAGCTGTTGGTTCTCGACAGACGGCTACTGCGCAGTGGCTGCAGAGGTCATTCTGGCTCAATCAACACTTCCGACAGCAGTGAGAGTTTAAGCCTGGAAAGTGCTGGACCACACTAAGTGTAAGGGATTTATCACATGTCGGATTACTTCAGAGCAGCACAACTTTGTTTTTTTCCTCTTCTTAAATCATTTACTATCTATAGCTGCAGAAATACTGGTAGCAGAGCTTTTTGGGAACAGCTGGCTCTAAAGAGGATATTCTTTTAGAGAAGGTAAGCCTCTGCATTGCTACATAGCTCTCTTATCTACTTCTCTGGCCATTCTTGGAAATTTAGCATTCATCATTTTGTCAGTCTGCAGTGAACAGTGCTAGTTGTCAGGCTGCAGTGGTCTCTGCCTGTTGCCATGGTGAGACAAGTCGGTCCATAATAAGTTCAGTCTGTAGTCAGAAGGTTTGAGAAAGTATGTTACTATTTTCCTGTCTTTCTTTCTCATTTGTGTGCTCAGGAAGACATCAGTTTTCACACCAGTTTAACCAGTGACAGTGATGGTTGTGATGACTGTTGTCTTTGTGTAAATTGCTTTAATTTCTCTGTTTTGTAAGAGCTGTGCAACTAGCAGTTGTTTTCAATATCAATTTTCCTTCTTTGTTTAGTTAAAAGTGTCAGAAAATGATGAAAATTAAATTAATTTGTCAACTAATTTATTAAGTGGTTGACATAATATAAATCATAAATATCCTGGCTAAGACAGGCAGCAACCACATGAAACAGTGGTCAGTCCATCACAGGGCGAATACAAAGAGACAGACATTCATATTCACACCTACAACTACATTAAAATCACCATTAATCGATCATGCATGCTCCAGAGGAAAGACCTGTAAAATGTTTTAATGATACAAGCGAACACAAGGCTTTTTGGAGGAGGTCAGGTATCGCAGTAACATTGGTTTTGATTGCTGGACTTTAAATTTTCATGATTAAATTTAGAGCAGGACAGAGCAGCAAACACTAGCCTAAACTCTCATAGCAGCCAGGACCAGTTTCCACACAACGAGAGAATACCCCACTAGCTGTGTGAGTAGTAAATGGTGCTTTCTGTAACCTAGCCTTTTAAAATTATTTGACTATTCTGGCTAGCCAGACCTATTAATGAGTGTTGCTTACACTCTCCTTAGAGCAGACAAACCCTGTGTAATCTCTTCCTTACGCTCATACTCTTTTCTTTTGGTAGTAATGCATTAAAGACAAACAAAACATCCATCCATCCATTATCTATACACCACTTGATCCTCAGGGTGGTGGGGGTTGGAGTCTATCCCAGCTGATTTAAGGTGAAGGCAGGGGACACCCTGGACAGGTCGCTAGTCTAGTCACAGGGCTACACTCAGAGACAGACAAGAACAAACAAAACATAACCCTCCGAACCTGACATTTATATTAGAACATTTGAACGTGTGGAGAGGTTCAAAGGCTGTCTGTGACTACTTAGAATATTTCAGCTATGATTGGAAAATTGTTATTTCGGGGGAGGTTTCAATGGTCTGTGTACATGTGAAAAGCCTTTATGTTCGGTGTCTCTTATAAAATACCAAGGGGCTCATTCTTTAACATGCTCGCAGTTGTGGGATCAAACAGTTTCATGGCTGTATTCTGTGCCTCAAATACTTGAACTGGAAACCCTGACTCCTCATGTCACAGAACCTCACCTTAGTGTTCTTTCTTTTACAAGTTACACTTTCCATCGAGGCATTCTAAGAAATGTTGCTTATGTTTTATTGTTCGCCTACTTCCTTTTCTTTTTTATTGCTCTGGTGCTGTTTGTGTGGTTGTCTATTAAGTGCAGGCTTAGCCTGTTTTTAGTGGGTGTACTGAGCCAACATTTCAGTTAGATACAGTCCCTTTGAGGCTCTCGTAAAAATAGCACAGGGCTGCATGGTTACATGAAGTATGGTTGGCCTACATACAGGGCTGTAGATTGTATCTGGTTTGCCTCTGAAGTGGAAAAACACTGACTGTTTAAAAGTGCAAAAGCCTGATAAGCCAAAATTGGAGGAGTTTTATTCTACCATAAGATGCTTATCATCTAACAAAATTATTTATGGTATCGACACAGGATGGTTTACAGCTTTTCAAGTGTTTTGTGCTCAAAAGAATATATATATAGATTTTTTTTTAGCTTACAGCCATCTGTGTTTGTGTGTTTTTTTCTTCAGATGTATAACTCCAGGGGCATTTAAAAGAAAACAAAAAACCCAAAACACTTAACTGTTATCTTCATTTACAAAATTACGTATGTTTGTCTGTGTCTAATTTTTGATTTTCTCTTTTTCTGTCTGTCTTTGCTTTTCCTCCCTACCTCTTCTTCCCTACCTCTTTATTTCCGTTCTTCTCCTCAGTCTCTCCTGAGCTTCTGGGTGTCCTGTCTTCCATTGCAGCCTTCATGGCGTTGATGGCTCTGTTTTTTCTTTACCTCAGCAACAAGCTGTCAGTGGAGAGTCCTGACGATCTGTCACATCTCAGTGGCTATAAGAAGAACCAGCCAGGTACTCAGTACTTACAGATTTACCACACTGGCTGCATTAACACACACCTCAGGACGATTATTGGCTTTGTCATGGTTTTACATTAATGATATAATGGTAAATTCCCTAGTTACCTAGTTTTTTTGGTCATCCTCACACAGCTGTGCCATGTGAAACAAATTTGAATTCAAAACAACGACATCTGGCTCTTAAATAGATATATCACTGTATATACTCAAGCAAGCTTTGCTAATGTTCCATTGCATAGTCCATGTATAATGACATAAAATGAAGGTCTTCATGATCTCTGTTGCAACTAAACATTGTCAGTGTTGCAATAAGAGCAGACTCTCTGCTGAAATAATTCATTGAGATAACAGTTATTTCACATAAAGTTTATCGTTTTATTTTTTAACCTGACAAGCAACACTTCTCCAAAAAAATAAGCACTTGTTCCCAGATGTATGTGAGATATATACACTTAAGTTGCCACAATGAACACTACATTAAATGAATAAGACACTGTATTATTTTACAAACTTAAGGAATTAGGTTTTAACACTATACCTTTAAAATAACTTTTCATACAGAATTTGTGCTGACACTGGTTTCAGGGTTGGATCTAATTTATTGATGCACTGAGTGTTTGTATTCTGTATGTTTGTTTGGGTGTGTAGGCCTTTATAGCTGCATATTTTTTTTCTGAATAAGTGAAGGTACATGATTGGGATGAGTGGGATTTTTGTGATTTCTTAATTATGCCAATGCTGTAATGTTGCTGGTGTTCGTAAGCAAACTCCAGTCAGCAGTAGTTCAGTAGTTCACGACAGTCCAAGTCATGCAACATTATTCATATTACAGGCCAGCTGCTTCTTTTATTGTCTCATCAGATCAGCTGACCAGTTAGTCAACATCAATACAAATGCCACAGTTATTTTGGAGTGCAGCCATCATTGCTCATAAATTAACGTACATGTTGCTGTGGTTTCTTTATAAAACCCATATGATAATGTCTGAGCATTAGACATGAAACAAGCATGTTTTTTACTATAATCATATTGGTGTGTACATACTTGTCAGCACACACTGTGATGTTGGCACCACACCCTGCTAACAACCACATGTCCGTGTCAGTGCCTCTGATGAGCTAATCTAGTGGTCAGCGTGGTGACAGGATCCCCGGCTGAGAGATGGCCTTCTTCAAGAGCTTCCAGCAGAACCTTCCATCTGTCAACATTTCCTCCATCTTGGACTCAGTCACCAGTCGTGTAGACGACCTGGCCAACGCTGTCAGCGATGTCACTTATGCTGTCAGCGACCAGCTCACTGAGCAGGTCACCACAATGATCAACAAAGCGCAGGACGAGGAAGACGGAGAAAACAGCAGCAGCCAGGAGCCAGGTCAGGCGTCTGCCGCACCAGAAGGCAAAGCCAGCAATAAAAGCATGTGGCAAATGCCGAGAGATTCAGAGGAAGGTAACACAGGCTCAAAAAACAACCAAGCCAGTGAGACAACAGAGGCAGAGCACGCTCCAAGCCAGCTGGAGTGGGAATGGAGGGATGGATGCTGGCGAGTTAAAAAGACGGAAGCTGAGTTAATACAGGAAGAGATGAGGAAGAAAGAGGAGAAGGAACAACAGGAGAAGAGAGAACAGCGGAGAAAAGAGAGAAGAGAGAAGCAGCTTGAGAAAGAAGCCCAGTCTCAGAGAAACAAAGAAGAATCCCAGGAGAGAAGGCAAGAGGAGGAAGTTCATGCTTTAGAGAAGACAGACAATAGTAGTGGACAAGACGCAAAGGCAAGTGACAGTGGAGACCAGTCAGCTCCTCAACAGAGAGGTGAGGACTGTGATATAACTCCCACTTCAACTGGCAGTGATACTGAAAGTAGGTTATCAAAACAACAAGAGCAAAAAGATGATGGGGAAGCAGAGGAAGAGACGAAGGACTGCCCCGAGAGAAAGGGAGACGATGAGAAAGAGGCTGAAATTTCTTCATCCACTACAAAAAAGAAAAAGTCCGACAAGAAGAAGGGGAAAGGTACAAAAGAGGGTTCGAAGAAATCAGAAAAAGCTTCGGATGATGAGAAAAAAAAGGAGAAAGGCAAGAGAGGCAAGAAGAAAAAAAAAGGAAACCAAGGTTAGAGGGTGTGCTGCTTCTCTTTCACCGTCACTCTTCTGTTTTCAAGTTCTTACCCCAGAGTGCTGTGTGCCAGTTTCAGCAGCTGTATCTTGACTCTTTTCTTTAAATATTGCAACCATTATAGTTTACAAGCTAGATACAATGTTTGAACTGGAGTGTTCATGTGTCCCGTGCAGAGGGAGTTTTATCAGACAGTGAGGAGGAGGTTGGCCCCGAGGCTGCGGCCCAGCAGAACACTACTTCTGCATGGAGCAGCAAATGTAAGCAGTCCGCTGAGCAGGGAGGATACAGCAGTGAGGCCTCCAGTGAGCGCGGTGAGCACATTTATGGACTGTACTCATGTTATATAAAATCTTATTTAACCAGGAGAAGTCCCCTGGCACATATGCACTGTAGACCATGGAAGACAAAGGTTACAAAGCATACAGGACACGCTTACAATATACTGGATGCAATATAAAGAAAATTAGTCATTAAGCACATGACACAAAAGGATAATTGAAGAATGATAAAATAACAGGAATGCATTTAGCTCAACATACAAAACAGACGCACTGAATGTTACATTTCTTTAACATCGACACAAAATGCGGCTTTATGGAGCTACACATACAGAGTTATTGTGTGCTAACATTTTAAATGGCACTAGCTACAAATTTTGGCTTTTAATTTTTTTATAGTACTCCTACAGGAGCTTCAGGTTTCTTAATTGAGCTCTGATGTTGCTATGGGGATTTGAGGTCACGCTGGAAGTTTCTGGTGAATTACAATCTTCTTGACTTCCTGCTACATTTCCATTATAGGGAAGAAAATAGCCCTTTTGGTATATGTCTATTTGATAGAATAGAGGGTTGGTTGCACTAAATATGACCTGCCACCAGACTTGTGGCAGGTCATATTTCAGGTTCATATTTAGTGCAAAGTTGTGGTTTTATGGACGATTTCTTGGTCTCGCTGTGCAGGTGAGCAGATTGTGTTTGGTGTCTCTCTCGTTTCCAGCTGTCATGCCAAGCTAAGTTAACTGGCTCCTAGCTGTAGCTTCTACTGATGTGAAAGTGATGTTGATCTTCTCATCTAACTAATGGCAAGAAATTACATTACACAATACCATATTCTAATTGATCTATTTTACAGCAGAGAAGCTGATGATGATTATGTTCAGCAAAATATTCAAAACCCAAGATACCACATATTTAACTGATGCATTGAAGAGCCCATATCCTACTTTGTGGTTGTTCCCTTTTCCTGGATGTGTTATATAACTGCTTTTTTGTGCATGTAAAAGCCCAACGTCTGCACAAAGAAGCTAAACTCTGTCTGAAACACCTGACTTTTCTTCCATTACTTATTAATGTCACCTTATCACACATTTTTATAATGTCTGCCTAGCAGCTAGTTTGGCCTTAAACAAAGGCACAATTCCAGTTTGCACTCACAGTACATTCCTGCTAAGTGCTAAAGGCTTAAAGCTGTCCCACTGTCAAATCGTCTAGTGCATGAGGGGTTTTGCGCAGATGTTGTTATCCTGCCTCCCCACAAAATGTACACAAACCAAGGATGGATTGTGTACGGAGGAACTCTGCGAGGAAGCTTATCTTGTAGTGACAGCATCTACTCACTGTTGTGGTTATTTTTTTTTTGGGGAATGTTTGAAGAGATATTTTTCTTTTTAGTCAAACGTCCATATTGAACTTACAGATGTTCAGGGCTTTCCTGACTTTGAGTAGTTTTACCAAAATGAATAAACAGGCAGTGATCAACTGAACAATGGATCACCTGTGACTAAAGCATGAGTCCAAATTCACTTTTTGAATGTAGGGTGCCTGGTCTGCTAAACCAATCAAAACAGACTGGGCTTTTCTGGAGGGCCTTAAAGAGACAGGAGCTAAACAAGAGCAGCTTAGAAGAGATGCTGCAGCAGTGTACAGTATCAGAAAAGCATCATATTTGTTGAATGTGAATGTATGTAAGCGTATTCCAGTACACTCCAAAAATAAAACGATAAACCTGTAAATGTGCATAACAGGAACTTCTCTGAAATGAAGCATTTTAACAACTCTTGAAGCTCTGGTAATTCAACAAAAACTTAAAATAACCTGGGTTTGATGGACTCAGCTCAGATCTGGTGTAGTTTAAGAGGTATAACCTGACTCCGTGGTAGCCTGTACGTTGCATACCTAATGAGTTTTTCTCCAGAGCACAGTCTGTCTCCAGTAACACTCCTTTTATATCGCATTACTCCTGTGTCCCTGTTTGTGATGAAAGCAGCCAACAGCATTCAGAGGATAAAGAAAGATCCCTCCCTCTGTGAGCTCCAGCCTCCCCCGTACCAAGATGAAGGCTCTGGGGCCCGTGTGTCCTCTCGTTCCCACTCAGAACGAGGGACCAGAAGGGGGTCGTCCCCACAGCGCTGCGACAGCCCCCTCTGCTCCACCGATGCTAGTGTTGACCAGGACACTGAAAGCTACCTCAACAAAGGCTGTGAAGAGGACATACCCAGCGACAGCACTGCTGTTCTGGGTCCAGAGGTACGATCAGAGTTACTGCTTCCCCCCTTAAAGTGTCTCTAAGCAGCACATAAACAGAGTCAACATACTGTGTCGGTGGTTTGCTTTGAGTTTTACTGCCCTGTAGTTCGATGGAATTATAACAAAGAGCACAAACAATAATAATACACCTGTGTTTTTCTAATATTATTGCTTCTAATATAACTATAATTTGGCATTTATGTTCGAGGACTACTGTAATCGGATAGCTTATAAGAATGTTCCTTCAGTTAAAGTGTCAGCTATAGTTACAGGTCATCCTAAGTCAAGGAGAACAGAGTGGGTGATGTGTGCAAGTACTTATTTAACCCTCTGAACCCTGAACAGTTTCCAGGTGTTTTTTATTTTGCTCCTGTTACATTTTTCCTCACTGTGGGCTCATTTTTCACTGCAATATAAATCCTTGCACCTCCATGGAAACAGTAAACCCATGGCTAGAAGTAGAGAGAACTCAGAGATGTCCTCTGTGCAGTATGTCACAGTTAGAATGCCTTAAATAAGAAAAAAGTAAAAATGAAAGTTGCATTTCTTTGTTTTACAAAAACTAAAAAACTAAAAATGGTATGTACAGCATTTTTCCCAACCACATGCAGATGTTACCAATACTGGAAAAAAAATAGTGACTCTACATGCTATGATATTTTGCTACTTAAATTTTTCGTTTGTTTACATGCATTCTCCGATTCGCTCTGTAAACACTGACTGCAGTTCAGCTTTAAAGTTCTTGCATTTTTGTCAGCTGACTGTTGGTCACAGCTTAGTGACAAATGGCTTCTTGCCTGCACCAAGAAGTACAGAAGTTTTTGATTTTTTTTTTAGAGAATATGGTCAGAGAAAATTCTTTATTTTTGTAAATGTTTAAATGACAGGTGTAGAATGGAGTGATTTTAATAAAATAAGCTCAGATTTGGTCAATTTTCCTGATCAAATGGCATATCAAAGATGAGTAGTTTAAGGACCATTGGAAACTACAAATCAGACAATTATTTTTGTTTTCATAGTTTCTGGCTAATAAATGATGAATTTGGGTGTTTGTTTTTTAAAGACAACATGCCTTTCAGTTCTAGTGGCAGCCTTCAATGTTCAGAGGGTTAAGATGAAAGCATTCTGCTTTTGTTGTTGCAGTTTCTCATAAACATATTTTTCTGATTCAACACACACATGGGTCTCATTGTATTTTTTTAAAGTAAATAAACATTCATTATTTTGTGATACCTGAAATATCTTCTTTATGATGATGAATCCTTCACTGTAACAGAGGACACCTGGAAACTTTTGAATGGGTACATAAAGCAGTGGATTTTAAAAACTCTGAAAACCTACAGGTTTTACACCAACAGTTGGCACCAGAAAAGAAATAAATAAAAATAATAATAATGATAACTTCATTTGTATAGCACCTTCAGGTACAACAAATCACAAAGTGCTCTGACAGGTAGAACATAACATACAGGTAAAAAAGCTAATAGATTGTTTTTGCTGGTTTGTACACTCAGGATGGTTCTGGTCCTCAGCTCCCGACAGCCTACGAGCCCGAGCCGCTTGCTAAATATGGCACATTGGATGTTGCCTTTGAGTACGATTCCAGTGAGCAGTGGCTGGCTGTCACAGTCACCGCAGCAACTGACATCCCTGCTCTCAAACAGACAGGCAACATCTCGTGGCAGGTCCATCTGGTTCTGCTGCCCACCAAGAAGCAACGGGCGAAGACCGGCGTGCAGAAGGGCCCATGTCCTGTGTTCACAGAAACATTCAAGTTTTCCAGAGTGGAACAGGAGGCCCTGGGGGACTGTGCTGTTCGCTTCCGCTTGTACAGCATCAGGCGGATGAAAAAAGAGAAGGTCTTGGGAGAGAAGGTCTTCTATCTGACTAAGCTAAACCTGCAGGGCAAGATCGCTCTCCCTGTCACTCTGGACCCCGGCTCTGAACTCACAGTGAGAACACTTTGTGACTTCATATCTTTCTCTGTGCAGTTTAGTTTAAACTCCTGAACATATTAACTGTTGGCCTATTTCTACGTTAAAATTTCTTTTAATATACAAGTGATTTTTTGCTTCATCTTGCAGCTTTTTTCCCAGGTTAATAATTCAGTTATTTTTAATGAGGATGAGTTACAGAAGAATGAATGGAATCATGGCCTCTTTCCTCTCCCTCTTTAAAAAACTTCCTCTGCATTTTGCCTTGCCAGGGCTGTGGCTCTCTTGTGAGCGTGTCTCGCAGTGCGGGAGCTCTGTCCTACCGCTCTGCTGAAGAGTCCATGCCAGAGATCCTCCTGGGTCTCATCTACAACTCTGCAACAGGACGGCTGTCAGCTGAGGTTATTCAGGGAAGCCACTTCAAAACCACAGCGTCTGATAAACCTGTCAGTAAGTACAAAAGATAGGACGTTAAAGCCTTTATTCTTGGGTTGTGTGCCAGCTTGTAGTGAGGTGATGAGTGATGCTGTATTTTCTGTTTGGTAAAGTTCTCTGTAATACCCCGTCCCCAAGGGGTGCTGATACATCAGGCAGTTGTTTTGGCAAAGCAGATGGGCTAGACTCCTAACAGCATGCAACAAAAACAAAATCATTACATTTAAATGTTTCCTTGAAACAGTGCCAACTATTTAATGACCAACGGTATTAAAGCCATAATGCTGAAGCAACTGCTGCCTATCAGAGTTCCCATGAAAGTTGACCTTCTGGTGTATATCACAATCTTGAAATTACTTTCTCTCTTTCTTTTTTTCCAACATTGTGTCTGCTGTGGTGTGTGTCTGCCACAGATGGTCTCTTTTGTTGTGTAAAACACTTCATAGGGGGACAGCTTTATATCATGAGAGGTAAGACGATAGTAAATTACTTGTAACATTTTCGCAGCCATAGAGTTTGAGCAGTTAGGGTTTGAAATATTTGTGTACAGTATGTTTGGCAGCCCAGAACTGGACATATAACATTAAACCAGAATTACAGAGATTCATATTTTCACTTTCCTCCAGTGTTATCTAACCACTTAGATGATGTTGGTTTTGTTTATCTTTATCATCATACCACCTTTATTTTTGTACATTAAATATAAAGCTAGAACTGGAAGACAGATAGCTGAGTTTACCATCGACTTGAAGCTGGGGAAACAGCTAGCCTGACTAACTTGGGCCGATTTTGAAAAACTAGGACAGAGGCAAGCTAGGTGTTTGTCCTGTTAACTACATATAAACTGAGCTTGCAGATATCAAGCTCTTGGCAATTAGGGTGTTTCCCAAAAAGGGCAACCTCTAATAGATACTCTTGAGATCCAGAGTTTTCCTTAATTACCTTACATTGAACCTTTTTTGTGCTAAAAGTACCACAAACAAAATTCTTTTCACCTCCATTGCACTGATGTATCTACCTGTCTGTATACACTGCTCAAAAAATGAAGGGAACACTTCCTCTCCACAGTATAACACCAATTCAGTTCAACTTCTGGGATATAGATCTTTCCAGGTAGGAAGCATAAGTCCACGTGTGTGCATGTTTCTAACCTGTCAGAGACAGACCCCATCGTCTAATATGCATATCAGTGAAGATTTTCAACTTGAATATTATGTGAATTTAGATCTAATGTGGGCTGCAAGATGACTTAGTAGTTAGCATTGTCGCCTTGCAGTGAGAAGGTCGCCAGTTTGCTTCCCAGTGAGGACACCCGGGATCTTTCTGCGTGGAGTTTGCATGTTCTCTCCCTGCAGCGTGGGTTCTCTCTGGGTTCTCCGGCTTCCTCCCACACAGTTCAAAAACATGTTGAGGTTGATTGGTGATTCTAAATTGTCTGTAAGTGTGAACGTGAGAGTGCTTGGTTGTCTGTCTCTAAGTGTAGCCCTGTGATAGACTGGCGACCTGTCAGCAGGGTTGTGACACCCTGGGGTGTCCCCTGCCTTCACCCTAAGGCAGCTGGGATAGGCTCCAGCCCCCTGCGACCCTAGTGAGGATTAAGCGGTGTATAGAAAATGGATGGATAGATAGATCTGATGTGTGATTTAAGTGTACCCTTGATTTTTTTGAGCAGTGTATTATTAATGCTTTATAAATGTTTATATCTTTTTGTAATTTGGGTGAACCAAATTGAATCTTGCTATAATTAGAGCCCAAGACAGTGTTCTTGGTTTTGAGTACCAATATGAAAAACCACTGCTGTTACTGTTTGCAATGTTAGCTGCAGTGCTGGCATCACACCACTGAGTGGCACTGTCTCACTGGTCTCCCACGCCTCCTTTCAGACACCTATGTAAAGCTGACCATGCTGGACTCTAAGGGGAAGGAGATGTCAAAGTGTAAGACGGCTGTGTGTCGAGGCCAGCCCAACCCCACCTACAAGGAGACATTTGTCTTCCAGGTGGCACTCTTCCAGCTGTCCGAGGTGTCACTGGTGTTGTCGGTGTTCTGCCGCCGGAGCAGCATGAGGCCCAGGGAGAGGCTGGGCTGGGTCTCCCTGGGCCTCAACAGCACCAGCGAGGAGCAGCAGGTCCACTGGACAGAGATGAAAGAGGCAGAGGGACAGCAGGTCTGCCACTGGCACACTCTTACCGACACATAGGAGGAGGATTTCCAAAGACTGACCCTAGAGTAAGAGCATTTCCAGAACAATCAGAGTTCTGGGAGAGCAAGACGCACCTTGTGAGATGTGTGTTGTGTGTGTTGCATACAGCTGTGAGGATGGGCACGGGTTCCCAGTCTTCACTGCCGGACTGCATGAATGCCCTTTAATCTGCCACTTTCCTCTGAGGCAGAAAGACTTCACTGGTGTCGGTGTAAACTCCAGTTCCAGCCTCTTTACCGACAAGAAAAGCAACGACAGACTGAAAGTGAATGACATTATAATGACTGAATCAATCAAGTAGAGAACGAAACGGTTTGTTTTAGAGTGATTCTGTTCACAGCAAAATCTGCATGTACACTAACTGTTTACAGGACAAAGTTAAAACACTTCCAAATATTTTCTCTCACTGAATCTTGGACCAAAGAGCTCGGTCCAGGACTAGCAGACTCTTTTCTATTACTTCTGGGCTTCTCTGGACTTTAGCTGCCACCAGCATACCAGACATTTCTCTATCAGTTGTAGCCACTGACAAAAGAGAATGCAATGAAAAGACTGTTACAAAGGGCCTACAAGATGCTGCAACTATGCTTACAAGCTATGCTTTGTACAGTTTGTTTACATACTCATGACATTATGCAATATCCATTCATTCATTTCCCCTCTCATGTTCTTGGATTACCAGTCATGGTTTACCACTTTTATGGGTGTCTCTTTGGTGTATGTGTTATACAAAGGTCTGTTTTTTGCTTTTTTTTTTACATTGTGCTCTTGCATAACTCAATACACTATGCATCTGACTCCACTTTAAATGGGGGAATGCAATTCTTTCTTGTTGTGCTCGCTGAGTCTCTTACAGAATTGGACACAGCTCTGCATGCCACTGGTATCAAAGAGCAGCTTCCTTTCCTGTGTAATACAGATTGAGCCTGTTTCACCATTCAGCCTTCTGACAACTCAGCCATGTTCGTTCATGTAGAAACACGGTGCTTCCCACTGAGGAAGAATATGCAGAAACCTGTGCAGTCCAATAAACCTGGCTGTCTCTGTGAGGCAGTGCTGATGACAACCTTGGCTCTGTTTGCTGTGAAGTGAGTTTGAGTGGAAAAACAGGAAATAGATCATTTAGTTTTTTTTCTAATTTCTATTCACTATTTAATAAATAAATACAACAATAAGTGAAAATATGTTGTCTAGGGCTATGAGAAATGTGATTGCATCTGCAACGTGTTCATTTGGAACAAAGCCAATTTTAAATGCTCATCTGAAAGAGCAGCTATGAGTCAGAAAATTCCCCAAAAGACTACTGAGGACACAACAGCTCCACCCACGTCTCAGTGAATGAAACCCTCTCCTCTTTCTGCTGGCTGATGCCGAGGGGTGTGGGGTGCATTTTTCTTTGTTCTCGTCCTAGTGATGTCAGGTTTGAACCCTGAGTCTGGGGCTGCAACCACACCTTGTCCCGTTACTTCTTCTGCTGGGACACATTGCCAGAAAGTTGTATTTTATTCAGTGAAAGATTATTTTACAGGATTTAATGAAAGTCAGATGTCACTTTTTTTTTATTGCAGAAAGAAGTACAACAACTGGAGTGCTTCTGTTCTGCTTCATTTTCTTGGGGAGTGATATCTTAAAGTCAGGAGCCAGCAGTCTGTTTGCCTGTTAGCCTTAGTCTGACTCACTGAATGTAGACTTTGGGTATAAGCCTGCCATTTCTGCTACATGTTTCATGTGGCTTTCTCCTCTCCTTGTGCTATCTGCATGGTATTGTCTCAAAACCCCTTAACAATGGGACACACCAACGACAACCTCTGAGCAGCAAGCCACATGCTGAAAAAGGCAAGTTCTGCTGGGAAGGCCGGCATGGTGTTTTTCAGTCTCTAGTTAACTCATTATATACTATGTATTTTAACATTAGTTTTAAATAAGTTTTTGTGCTAAATGGTTGGTCCCATCCAAGAATTGCACCGGTGACGTCAACAGCCATAACATCCTACTAACTAGCAAATTGTCATTTTCGCTAGGGCTGCAACTATTTTTTTATTGTTGTTTATTTTCTAGATTAACCAATTACAGTCATGAACAAAAGTTTACAGGCACTTATAAACATGAATGCATATCATGGCAGCCTTGAGTTTCCAGTGACTTCTGTAACTCAGAATTTTTAATGATGGAAACATTGAAACTCGTGTCTTTGTAACAAGAAAAAAATCATGCAATTTTATTCTGTCATAGATTTATTACAGGTCTTCTGGAAATATGACAAAATCTGCTGGGTCAATAAATATACATTTAGCTGTGCTAATATTTGGTTAAATATCACCTGGCCATTTTTTTGTTTACCTCAACTAGGTGCTTTTAGTAACTGTCCACAATCTTCTGGTTGTATCTTTGACCAGTCTCTAGACTAGTTTCTTCATCACAGATCACAGTTTTTTGATGGGGTTTAAGTCAAGACTGTAGGTAGACCAGTCTAAAATCTTAATTCCAGCCTGATTTATTTATTTTTTAAACCATTTTTAATGTGCTTCATTGGCTTGTTGGAACATCCAATTGCATCCAAGACTTTCTGGCTGATGATTTTAGATTTTACTAAAGAATGTGAGGATGGCTCTCCCTATTCATTGTTATATTTACCTAATAAAGCACCAGTTCCACTGGCAGCAGAACAGCTCCAGAATATAATACTACCACCACCATGCTTGATGGTAGGTTTGGTGTTTCTGGGGTCATCCTTTCTCCTTCAAACATATTTCTGATAACTGGGGTCAAATAGCTAAATTTTTGTTCCATCTGACCACAGAAAGGTCCTCCAGAAGGCCTTTTCTTTATCCATGTGATCAGCAGGAAACTTCAGTCGAGCTTTAAGGTGACACCTCTTGATGAAGGGCTTCCTTCCTGCATGACAGCTTCTCAATCCATGGTGATGTAAAACACATGACTGTTGACACTAACGCCTGTGTTCTAGCAGCTTCTAACTCATTGCAGGCCTGCTTTTAGTGATTCTTGGTTGACTCTTGACCATCCTGACTAATTGTCTCTCAGCAGAAGGTGGTAGCTGGTGTTTTATTCCTGATCGTGGCAGTGACACAACTGTACCTTGCATTTTATCCTTAGGGATCTGTAGCTGCTTTGAAATGGCTCCATGTGACTTTTCTGACTTGTTCAAATCAATTATTTGCTTTTCTTTGCTGAGCTCCTCAGACTTCCCCATTGTAGTGCTTGCGGCTGAGTCGAATGAGTGGATCAAATGGGCCCCATTTAAATTGGCTCAGAGGAGTCAGCAGCTGTAGTCAATTGCAATCATAAATGAGAAGTTAAGAAGCCATGCAAGAAAGTTTGATTAACACAACTTTCTAAATCAACAAAACTGATTGTTCAATGTATTTTGACTCATTTTAAGAGGACCTATAATAAATCTATGAAAGAACCAAAATGTGGGATGTTTGGTGTTTTTGTGTTTCAATGATTCCATTACAACATCTGAACATTAATTGTTATAGGAGTCATTGGAAATTCAAGATTAACATAATGTACATAGTCTTTACAAATGTGTGTAAACTTCTCTTCACAAATGCAATTGTTTGGTTTTTAAATGTTAGAAAATGGTAAAAAAAAATGTACATAACTGTTACCCAAATCCCTCAAGTATCCTGTTCTGTCCACAACCCAAAAATATTCAGCTTACTGTCATAGAGGAGGAAAGAAACCAGAAATTATTCATAGTTATGAAGCTGTCATCACAGGAGTCAGATTTTTTTTCTTAAGGATACTCAAACCGATTGTTTTTTAAACATCACTGGCAATTAATTCTATCGTTGACAACTAATTAATTAATCATTGCAGCTCATTTTCACACAACAAGATGCAACCTGGTAATTGTGATTTTTAGATGCGCAAGAAAGCACACCAGTGTTTTCTCTTGCTTACCATCTTGAGGCTAAGCTAACTGGAGCTGGATGCAACTTCACTGTTAGAACATTAACCCTCTACTTAAGTGCTAACAGGAAGTTAGTTCCCAAAACCTGCTGATATTTTTGGAAAGGAGATGGATACATTTTTTTTTAACAATGTTGAGAGTTTTTATTTCCATTCATCTGGCCTTCAATGGTATGTTTCACGCTGTCATCTGTCAACAGTCTGGTACAGCGCAAGCAGCATTGCAGGTGGCTGGAGCCTCGCCCACAGTCATGGATCAGACCCAAGAGCACATAGTTTCACAACTCTGTACACGAAGTAGAGTGACTATGGCCTTCCAGGCAAATTTATCCAGCTCTGAGCCACGGAAAACCAGCTGTGCCTCAGATCCTTGAAGGGGGGAAACCGCAGAGATGGAAGAAACACCAGCTGACCCAAACTGTGCCTTGAGGGCTGGTTTACAGTCAGCCAGGTAATCATGAGGCCCCTGGAGCTCCAATAAAAGTGTTGAGATGTGGTGAGTAGGTTGGGAGTCAAGCTGGTTTTTCAAGTTTGAGCAGGAACAAAAAGTAGAAATTTGGACTTGTCATAGTTGTATCACTGTACTAATATGGCATCTGGCTCCTCATTTTTTGCTCTTATATAAACAGACCTGATCCAATATTTTTATGTTTTACTGGTAGGATTACTAAACAGTAGGAGCCACCTGGATTAGGTGAAGATTTAGCTTCAAAGACAAATGGTCTCCACTGGCTTGTTGTGAAAGATCAATTCATGACACTCTAGTTACAGGTCAGCGATTCTAACAAGCAGCCACCTTACTGCTCTCAGGACAGTAAGGTCCCCCAAAGCTGTGGCACCAGCTAGTTTTCCTTGGCAATGACATAAACTGAATGGCTCGATCAGGTTGGGACCTCTTTGTGGTTACAAAAAATAAACTACAATGTCTTGTCATTTTATTGCATGTCTCACGCCAGTTTCTAAAAAATCTTTTTTTTTTTTTAATAATATATTCAATAAATATACAGGAACCATGGACTTACGAGAGGTTTGTGTCATAAAAGCATCCTAACAACCAGAGCATAATCTGGGGATGTTTTTAGGTTTGTCTTTTGTTCAGATTACAGGAATTAACTCTGACAAGGTCAACTAAAGGACTTTGGATTTATATTACATGATGGGTTGGGCTCCAATGGATTGACTCCTGGTATAGTACCATGCAGAGTGGATATGGGTGTACCAGACTGCATCCCTTTAGCAAGCATTAACACTGTATACCCTGCAAATTATGCTGTAAAGCAGTAGACATCGTACCTATTTGGCAAAGAAAACATTCATCAAGCAATGGTAAAAGACAAAGTGAAACCAATATGGCAACACTGTAAAAGTGATAATTCTGTCTGAGGTGGGAGGTCTACACAGAGGGGTAACATGAACATGGTGGGGCACAGCACATACATATGTCGCAAAGTCAGAACTGGCTGTATATTAAAGAAAAGAGTTCTGTGTTTTGGGGTTGACTTGCTTTCTGGGAAAGAGTTTGATAAGATGACTGTATCTGTCTGTTACATATAAACAACTGCAGCCAGCAGCTGGTTAGCATAGCTTAACACCAAGACTGGAAATGGTAACGACAGGAATAAAACATAGAAAATAAGATATTCTAAAGCTCAAACAATAACATATGCATCTTTTGCCTTATCCATACAAAAATAACAACAACAACAACGAAAAAAAAAAAAAAAACAGGAATACAAGCAGCAATTTGTTTTTGTAACATGTTCTGGACTATTTGACTGGGACCATTAACTTCCTAGTCTCTACTGGTTGCCTAGTAACTGCTTAAAGACACGTCACTGGCCATAAAATGAATAATAATGCATTAATAAGTGAGCTTTAGAGGTGCTATTAGACAGTATTTGTAACCTTTTGACAGAGCCAGACCAGCGTCTTCCTTTTCCAGTCTTTTTTCTATGCCGAGCTAAGCAGCTGTTGGCTGTTTCATATTCAACACACCAATTTAACAGACATTGATTTTCCATCGCACTTGCTGCCAGAAAGTACTTAATGTATTTAAAAGAAAATATCAAAGTGTTTTCTTTACATGTTTACCATAATTCTAATATTACACTTCACTGAAGACTTTCTGTATAACTCAATTAAAATTCAAAGCTTATTTTCAGTCGATTTTGGCAGCAGGGACGTTGTTGCACTTCAGTTTGGGACAGTGTAACCGCTAACTAGTCAATATTAATATATTTAGGCATGATTTTGTTAAACTCTGATCAATTTCACAAACATCAGTAAACACCCTATAGCATAAAAAGCAGGTCGTTTAAACACTCACACAGAGTGTACATCATGTAAGCATAACAAAATGACAACATGGTGGCTGGTTTTCATGACAAATTTGAGGCATTATGGTGACCGCTGAAGTGAATTCCCTCTCAAGCACTTAAACACTACTTGAACATGATTGGGCCAACTTGTTTTACTTTTCAGACAAGGTCCTGTCTCGTTCTGATCTCCCACCGGCAGAGGTTCTGGAAGAAGTTCACTCCACATAAAGATTTACACATTTAAACAACATTGTTTAAAAAAGTTCAATAAAATACTTCTAACCGTCAGTGCTTCTCTCACGTACATGTACAAGAAGTACAGTTTGTAGCTGTAAAATGGAAAACAAAACAAAAAGCGTAGTGGCAGCCATGTGCTGTGCCACTTTTTCTCATTGAGCTGGAACCATTGACAGCCTGCTGGGTCGAACGCAGCTTAGCATCAGTTTGTCACTTATCCACTAATTCCATTGTCAGGTGGACTTTAACCTGGGAGAGTTTCTGTACACTGTGTACAATTGCCCTCTTTCCTCAGCAGGCAGTTAGGAGGTGCAAATAACATCTGTGGTTAGTGGTTGACGATTGAGCATGATTGAAGGACATAAAAAAAGAGTGACATCCACTGAAAAGGCTTATTTTGTTGGCAGTGGTCCCTTTCAGCTTCCACTCTTCAAATTTTCTGGAGAGTTGTGGATTAGACCACCAGCCAACATCTTTTTAGGTTAACTTGTCTATCTGCCTGGGCAAAATCCTAACCCAAAACCTTCCCTCTGTGCATTTATCTTGCTGTCCATATATCCATCTTCATGACTGCTTGCAGTGGGAGCTGCTATTCTCTTTAAATACTTCCAGTCCTTCAGTCCACTCTGATTTTGGCTCTTTCTCCGTTCAGCCTGATGCTAGATGAACTTGAAGCATTTGGTCTTGTCGTGGGGTAAACGAGTCTTGAACAGCACTGAGTCTACACGAAACTGTGTGTATAGCAGTGGCATATAGCCGTACACCTTGACAAAGAAGTTGATGCACTTGTGGCGCTCGTGGAAATGTGAGTCATCGTGTGAAAGAGCCTGAGGGCATCCAGGACATCGGAAAGTCCAACGAGACGTCACCTAAGACATATAGAAAAATGAATTAAAATAGTGTAAATCCATTTTCAAAACAATGACTGTTCTGTCTTGACAACGTGATCATCGGCTGCCTTTTTTTTGTTGTTGTTGTTGTTTTTTTAAAAAATCTTTTCCAAACCCAACAAACATAATAGCAAGTATAAGGAATACATAAAATAGCATGTTTGGAATGTAAATTGCAAATCAGGTTAGTGGTATGTGTAGTAATTTACCATATATAGTATACAGAAGAAGTGAGTATAACAATAATAATAACAATGTCAATATTGTATCATTCCATAAAAGCATTATTTCTTAGGTCAACAGCAGGACATTTCCTCTTATAAACAATCAAAAACAAATACTTTAGAAAGTCCATGTTGAAAATACAGGCCCTTCAAGTTCAGACTCAATGCAACAAAAGTGAATACATCTGTGATCACTGATCCACCAGTCAGAAAATCTGTGATCACTGAAAGTAGTTCGCCTTCAATTTCCGATCAGCTCAACTGCATGAGCGTGGATATGAAATAACCTTTGGTCAGACGCAACCAAAATAAATTTGTTTGCCTCAGATGGTATTCAGCATGTTTGGCTGAAAATACTGTCTGATGAGATGACTTCCAGTCGGCAGAAGCATCAATCCTACGCATACTTCCAAAACCACACAAGTATGTTTACCACGAACACAGTTCAATCGTCAGCCTAAAAGCCTTTACACTTGTAACGTTAACTGTCTGAAATGTGAACCAGGTATATGTTAGAATAAATCATCTTAATCCTAGCACTAACTTGAGGTACACTGAAATGCAAAAGCAATACTCTTGTTACATGGGTCATCAACCTGTGAGGATGCTGACTTTCTGCCTGGGATACTTCACTTTAGACTTGGTCTTTTAGCATAATATCATTTATGAAGACATCTAGTGCATAGTTCTCCAAGACTCTCCTTTTAAACAAGTCAGCTGGATACATTAAAAAGTCAACTTGAGGCAGCATTTCAAACACACGGAGCTATTGTTAGCCTAATCAGCAAGCTAGCAACAATATGCTAAAATCTGACAATGAAACAAAGCAAAATTGACATTCGCCAGCTCGAGAAGACTGCTTTTGTCTACCAGTGTCTGAAATTGAGGACCCTTTGTTGTCAGTGTTATCACTATAAAATGCACATGTACCAAGAGAGAGTGTATGGTGATTGGCTGTCAATTTAGAAGGAACTCAACATTTCTAAAGTGTTGACGGAAAGGACAGAACGTCCCTAAATCGGAGTTCGTATCTTGTCAATTCCTCACCAGTTGTGCATAAGCAATTTATTTTCTTTTTTATATGTCATATTTGGGCTAAAAGAGAGGAATAAATTCCCCTCACCATTTAGGACTCCACATTCAAACTTGCCCCAAATTCATTATTCACAAGGCTTATTCCCAGCAGCGGAATGCTGTCATGCAACACACTCCATCAAAGACGTCCTTAATTCCCCTCTGAAACACCCCTGAATATTACCACCCCACTAAATCAAAAAAAATAAAAACTTAAACTGAGAGCTGCAGTGACATTTCTGTTCCAACAGCTTCCCAACTTATTTAACTTGTTAGAATTATTTGTCTTGCCATAAATATGCTCTCCAGTAATAAATGTCCTTCCAATAGCTAGCAGTAAAATCAGGCATAACACACCAATTCAATCTTGTGTTTTTAATTTATCATTTTTGTGGAATATTGGATATGCCACTTTGAGTAATGACAAAGCTAAGTGGGCTAAAATGTAAATACACAGGACCTGAGGGAGACGCCACGCCTGCAGAGGTCTACATGTGCCGTCACTGACCTTGATGGGTGGTTTGCGGGTGATGTGAGACACAAGGAAGTTCATGGCAATGTCCTCGCAGTTTATGTACTCGTCCACCATGTCCCTGATGGCCTGGGGCATCACATAGGAGTAGAGGTACGCATAGTACTGCAAGAACACAAACGCACGGGAAAACATGTCAGTGATGTGGCTGAAAGACAAACTTGGTGGGGCATGATAGGGTTTTATAGAGCACAAGATCTGACCTTATGAAAGAAAGCAGCTCCTGTCAGGACCATGGAGAGTTCACACGAGTAGTTGGAGTTGTAGAGCCAGGACTGATGGTTGACGTCCCATGCGTGATACCTCCCAGGAAAACCGACGATGCGATCTCTGGCCTCACGCCACACTCTGCAGGACACCATCAGACAGGTGCTCAACAAAAGAACTCATTTTCGATCGATTACTTTAGATTGATTGCCTGAATTCATATTTTTTTCATGGAGGACTTTGTGGATTTTTGTTATTTTCCTTTGTCATTAGTTTGGGTTCCTCGTGTCAGTCTGTGCATATGCCTCCTTTCTAAATCCATCTGCTTCAGTTTGTCATCCAAGTTAGCAATGTGACAACTGTTTTCCTCCTGGGAAGCAATTAAATATTCTGTCATCTTTTATTAGTATTCCGCCTTTTTTTTTTAGATATCAAATAAAACCATAACGTCACACCTGACTCATACTTACAGATACTGTAGCCCAGTTACTGCAAGAAATCCTCAGAGCACAAAGAAAAGAGTTTTAAAGTAATCATATGAGATAACTGGAATTCTTACATAAGACCCAGAAGATGTGAGATGTCTCAATGGACAAATTCAGGGTCTCGAATGATTTCATGTGACACCATTTAAATGTCTAACACAGTCAGCTACTGTGTAAATTCTCCTCTTTGGCAAGAGTGAAGGTGAAGAAACATTCCTGGATAATTCATAACAAATGACCCCGTACACCCACTCAGAGAGCCAGTCTTTGCCTGTCTGGACAAGCTGCTACAGCACCAAGTCACAGACATGTCTGGGGAGAGGGGAGATGTGGTGGACAAAAATAACCTAACAGCATGCTTGATCATTTAATTGGTTTGAACATGGCCTTCATATTCAAGCTACCCAAGTACCGTATAAGCACGATGCTGACGGCATATTTCCCTTTGATTTTCTGTACTTTAGTCTCTCGTGGTTGCTTCAGTTTTCCTGTCACTTTCACTGTTTTACAGGAATGTGACGCTTCTGCATTTTTTGGACATTTTTGCTTGTTACAGGAGATGAAGCCTTCCCTTCTATTTAACTTCATTTTGTGTTCTTTTTCTTTACAGCCCTATTCTAAACAGGTTGCAGCTTATTATCTAATCTCTTCAATTAATCTACATACGTATTTTTCAGGTGGTTGTTAATTGCATGACAAATACAGCACTCATAAAAGTGCATACTAAAATACTTAGCAAACAAGTATTGCAGATTTTACATTTGACATTAACCAAGACAGATTGGTAACGAGGAGTTTTCACTTTGACGTTAAAAAGACATTTGCTGTCCACTACGATTTAATGTTGCAAGGGAGGTTAAAGCATCTTTATAGGCACTGTAAAATATCAGACATACTGACAAATGCTCTTTACATGTAACAGAAAGGGTGTTTCTCTGTAGCTTCACTGACCTGAACCCAAACATGATCTCATCATGGCGCAGATGAGCATCGTCATCAATGGACAGGATGGCCTCAGTTTCCACAGCGTCCCAGGGAAGGAAACGGTTATTGAGGCTGTTTTTTTCTGTGCGGACAACCTGCAGGCATGAGATGAGACATACTGTAGCTTGGCAAGAGCTTTGATGAAAGGCATCTTTTACAGTAGAGGTATAGGTGAGAACATGTTGAGCGATGCTGCACACTGAGCATTTTGGAATTATGACATCCATCTGCTCATAAAACTGTCTGACTGTTCAAGTGTGTCTGTTTAATAACTGATGGAACTACTGAAGTAGAATTCAGCAAATCAAAGGAAGTGCAACAAACAGGTATTTTCCTCATCTATTCGTCTATTACTTTGATTTATTACAGTGTACAAATTGCTAAATTACAAAAAGAAAGAAACCAGAAAAATACCTTCCAAGGTGACATTTTAAAAATATTTGTGTAACCAACAGTTAGGGTTGCACAATTATGGCTAACATGATAACAAAGTTTTTTCTTATTAATATGGAGATCACGAATATTGATCACAGCTCTTCACTCATGTCAGGGACAAACCATTTTAATGGCGTCGACACATTTAAATAGAGCCATGTTGTGCTACAGTCCTGCATATGTACAAGTCTTTATCAAAATCACACTGGTTCTTACTCAGTGATCACAGCTATTGATATTTATCAACAGAATTGTACCAAATGTTGGAATCCAAAATTAAATCAGCAGCCCTGCATTCACTTTAAAGTTGTGCAATATGGTGACAAACAGTGCAGCACTGCTGACATGGATATCTGAGTGAACCCTGGGCAAAGACAATGAAGTGAGGTAACATTAGCTAAATTATTCTTCTTAGCCTTTTTGTGCTCATTACACTGCAGTTTGTGGTGTGCTTTCAAGTGATTGAACGAGTTAGTTATATTGTTTTGTGGCGCAGACAATTTCCTAAATACAAAATAGTTCAAAACAATGGGTGATGATCTGTTTCAAAAGACTAACTCTTCACCCTCTACTGTAAACATCTGATTATCATTTGCCTGTCTGCTCTCTGTTGTATGTCACTCTTGCACTCTGGACTAATAGAAAATCCAGCATTTCTTTGCACAAGTTGCTGCTTGCATGATGGCTCCCCAAAAATGTATCAAAAACACTTTGATTGCGCTCTGGTGGCTGGCAAAACTTTAGGGGTCAATATCTCAGTCAATTATGTTCATTTAATTGCAGATTGTGAATACTGAGATACGATAATATACAGAAGAAAAACAACAAATCCAATTCTGCTTGATAAAGACTTCAAACCTTAATCAATTAATATAGTTGAGGATTAATGTCATGACAATAGACCAATTATTAAAGTAACTGTTTCAACTTTACAGTGAAATGACACATAGGCTTGTCTATTCTCAATGTCAAATTGTGCAAAAGACTCAGATGCCAATTCTGTAGTTTCTCCCTGTCAGCTCACTACTTTTTAAACAGTGTGAATATGAACTACATAAATATTAGATTATTCAAGTTTTAATTCAAAAGCACAGATTTTATCTTTCATGGATGCTAGACTTCTTCAGTCTTTTTAAGAAAGCTGCAGGTAATTTGTACAGACTCCCACAGAGTTTCAAAGAGACACTGATCCAAACAGTTCAGTGTAGCAAGTAGACTTTGCATCACATCTGACACATCAAAGCATTGCAGGTTGATTTTGTTTTTTTGTTGTTTTTGTTTTTTTTGCATTTCATAACTAAAGGATAAGAAGGAGGAGTATACCGTACTAAAGAAAACAAAACTATTAAGATAAAACTGTATTATTTGTAGAGTGAAAGAATTTTTCTGCGGGTACACTCACCACAATAGGCAGACCGATGTCTGGCCACAGCAGGTCATCTGAAGGAGGCTTGGGTGAATTCCACACCACCACCACCTTGTTGAGGTACGGCAGTCCATTCAACCTCTCCAGAGAGTTCATCAGCACCTCCTCCCTCTCATAAGTCAGCATGACCACAGTGAACTGTTCTCGGGGCACATTCCCACCCAGAGCAGCCTGAAACTCCTTTCCGGAGCCTCCTGTACCTCCACCGATAGGCCTGAAACCAGTACCAGAGCCAAGGAATTTGGCTTCAGAGGGCAGCACGGGGTCAAGGGGAGTGTGAGGAAAAAGATGGAAAGGACCTGGGGCTCTGTTCCATGCTCTGTAGGTGTCTGAAGCAGTGTAAGTGAAGTTGCGGAGATAACGAGGAGAAGCATAGGGGGGCTCTGTCTCGACAGGACCCAAATCCAGATCACCATTGTCAGCCAGGTTGGCGTCAGTTCCTGCCAGCTTCCCAGCTTTGTGAGGAATCTCGTGAGCTGGCTCCTCTTTGATGGGTGCAGCAGGAACTTGGATGCTGGTTCTGATACTGGCCAGGATGGTGTTAAGAACATTCTCTGATGTTGAGAAATAGGTCTCCCATAGAAAGCGGCCCTGCCGCCTCATAGCCAACATGTCATTGTCTGATAGGCTGCGCAACAGGAAATGTAGCTCAGTGACACGGGGTTTGGGGACTATGATGGCAGCTTCACTCCAGCGGATAAACTGGTGGTAAGGTAGTCTTGAATGGTCCCCCAACACAACTGGGATGGCTCCTACCTCTAAGGCCTCAAACAGCCTCATCCCACAGCCTGCTGAGGCCACCAGTTGTCCATCCCCTGCAGCAATCACCAGGGCAAAGGTAGAAGCCTTGAGGACCTCCAGCCTGTCTTCCCGCTCTCCACAGAGAGCCCACTCTGTTGGCAAACTTGACCTAGGGTTCTTGCAGGTGAACTCCACCAGCACCTGGTCCAAGTGGCTATCCTGCACTGCCTTTAACGTGCCGATTATGCGGTCATCGTAGTCAGCTGGTGGATCTCCCTCCATTTCCTCCTCGAATGACTGAGGGGGTGCCTCCTGTAAGCTGCTCCTCAGGGACTCCACCCTTTCACCCTGGAAAGTGAAAAGGTATTTCCTCTTTACAGGAACTTGAGGTGGCACTTCCAAAAAGTTGGGTTCTGAGAGGGCATGAACCAGTGGGGACACAACCAAGTCAAAGCCCTCACGGTACTGCTGCTCCAGGAAGGTGGACTGAGCAACTGCTGCTCGTCCTGCACTCACATTATACAGGAAGTTCTGTGTCATAGACTTTCTAGAGAGATGCACAAGCACATGGTTGTGTCCATCAGATCTCCAGTAAGGAAGAGCTTTCAGTTGCTTCTCTAGCTCTGCAGGGGAAGGCAGTGGGGAGGAGGACTCCTGTAGCTCCCCTACCAGCACCAGATACAGACAGGCAATGCTGGGGTTATCAGTCACATAAATGTTGCTTTTAACTGATGCTGCAAAAGCCTGCTTCACCAGAGGGTCAAGATAGTCCCCCCATGGATAGGAGCCTGTGTCATAGACATACACAGGAAACCCTGACGTAAGAGGACAGCGCGCATAGTCAAAGCATGAACACAGGCGGCAGGAGCGTGAAGACTTGGGTGGGGGTAGTCCTGGGTCCTCCTTGTCAGGCAATAGCCTGACAGGCAATGACAGCTTAGGCTGGTTTTGGGCCATCAGTTCTTTATAGGAATGCTCTGTCTGACTAATGACATTCTTCAGCTGCAGCAGATCCTGCTTGGCACTGTCAATGCTGCGCTTGCAAGCCTCGATGCGTAGGTTTAGTCGGGCAATCTCCCCGTTGAGCTCCTGCCTCTTGGCCTCCAGCTGCAGCAGCTCCTCACTGACTGATTCACGGATGCGGCACAGGTCCTGCACATGTTTGGCCTCGCACAGTTCACCACCAGGTCGTGGGCCGAAAATACGCTTATCCGGACCCCCAGCTTCATCAATGGTAGTGAGGTAGTAGTGAGCAATAAGTGGGAAGAAAACCAGGATGAAAAAGAGCATGAAACTGAGCCACGTGAGACGCACACGCCGCAACACCCATGGCTGGCCTCCGACACCCACGCCACCACCGTTACGCTGCATCGTTGACCTTACTCAGTCTGTTCCTTGCCCCACCAAGGAACCGTCGATATGAGGATCAGCAACAGCCATAGTCGACCTTGTCAACAAGGCAGTGGGATGGATACTAAATCATTAAATCTCAGGTGTAACTCTGTCCTTCCGCAAAGGTCATCTGAGGCTGTTTACCTCCTCTTCAAGAGTCCTGTGGGTATTGGCTTGAGGTTGAGCCTCACCTGTGCTCTAATATATACTCTGATGTGTCATAGCCCACACAAGCTAATGCCATTTCTATTGCGTGATTTAGCTGTTGCTCCAAATCTATGTAAGAAAACAGTCCCACATCTGGGGAGGGGGGCCCCTTGAAGGGTGATCCAGGGCAGGCATGGCTACTCACGGCGAAGTGAGATAGCTGGGAGAGTCCGTTGTTTCAATCTCAAATGTTCTCATTTTCTGACCCCGCAATCAGAAAATCCAAAACAGAATACTTCTTTCTTCTTAACACAGGAACCTGAGAGAATAACAGAAACATAACAAATCAGTGACAATGATAGATAATCCGCAGCAAGATTTAAAAAATAGCTGTTTAATTGTATTAATTTTCTGTAATAAAATATTTTTCATCACGTCTTCACTTCCCAAAAGTTACAACTGAACAAGATGTATAATTCTGAAGCTGAGCAACATTTAGCAAGGTAAACTCATTAGCAATAGCCTCAATGTCAATGATCACTTTTGTCCTCACAGAGATGCAAGTGGTAAAAGGCCCTAATGTCAGGAGCATAGTTAAAAACTGTTAATGTGTGATATTTATGGTATACCGTTACACAAGTAGCCACTATAAACATTTCTTTACACAGATTCTGCAGGCTCACACTTTCCTCCCCTACATTCTGTGCATGATTGTCTAGTATAGAACAAAAAGTGTTGTAGGATACCAAGCAGTATCATTTTCATTCAATTTACTCTCTCCAAGTCACAGAGAAAGAGCACAAAACAGGGGAGAGCCATCACTCGTAAACTACACACAGTTGGTGAGCCAACACCAACAGCACCTCCAGCAAATCTCATTAAAGGCCTCCTCCTGCATCCCAACCTCATCACTGACTCAAATTACTGAGCATCCTTGATAACAGTCCACCACCAAGAGTGATGTACAATTATCTTCACTGGTTCAGAAGAGAAAAAGGCTCAGGGTTACACAAAAGAAACCAGCTGCACCCTCTGATGCAGACTGCAGAGCCCTGCAGTGTTGCTGCTTTTATCTCAGTTTTCAAGAAGTTCCTGAGGTCGCTGGCAGTAAGCTTTCAGATCAATACAACAATAACCACATACACTTGCTGCTAACCAGCTCCTTTAAACCATATGTCAGGAACTGGTTAGCAAATACCAAGTTAGAAAAAATGAACATCTCAGGGGCTGCTTTTTAGCAGGCTTTAGCAGGATTGGAAAAGACAGCTCTAGGCCAAGACCAGCAACACTGCCAGTCAGGAGCTCCCCTTCCAAAGGCATAAACATCTCTTAAGGATTCATAGCACAATCTGAATTTTAGCACTGATTGTTTTCTCCCCCTATGTGAAGCAGTCTGCTGCTGGAACTCAAGCTATGTATATTTCACCACAGCACAAGCCCTGAGGATGTTAACTGATAGGCCGAGCACCAAACAGCCCTTATCAAACACATTACCAAAACCAAACACTGACAGTGAGCCTTGATAAAGCAGTTCAGACTGACACAGTCACAGAGACCAGAGGAATGCAGGTGTTTATCTTTAGCCAACATAACAGCTCCCTGTAATAAGGACATTATTCCCTGGGCTAATGGTTAATTCAAACCTATGTGGCTGTCATGTTTTCACTGCAGCCCGTTAGATCACTGCATAGACAGATAACATCTAAAAAACAGAAACAGTGCCATCTCAAGCAACTCTTCCTTCTGCCACCACATGACTGGCATTTCTGATGTTTAGAGATTACTGCGCTTCAGACTCCTGAAAAAACACCATCTTGCAGTACAGCTGGTGCATGTGTGTGAGTGTGTGTGTGTGTTTGTGAGTATGCCTGTCAAGCAGAGGAATGAGGAAATGTATTAACAAATCACATGACAGACACGTGATATCCTTATGCTTCTTGACTGACATCCTACTTGTCTCCTTGTAGCTTCTATCTGAGTGTTACATATTATCAGGCTACAAGATCGTAAATCTGAAAAACGCTATTTTCTGATGACAATGAAATAATTTCTTCATGGGTGGTCATACTTCATCTGCACCTTTATCTGCAATGTGCTTCTCATACTTAAGGAAAGCTAACTATTTTTCTTCGCTATTAAGTGATTATTTTCTCAGTGAACAGGTCGTTTAGTCTACCAGTGAACATCCAGGGACAGGACATCGAGAGAGTGGAGGAGTACAAGTACTCGGGTGTTCACCTCAACCATAAACTGGACTGATCAAACAATACAGACGTTCTGTATAAGAAGGGCCAAAGTTGCCTCCACCTGCTGAGGTCCTTTGGCGTGTGCAGGACACTGTTAAAGACCTTCTATGACACTGCGGTTGCTTCTGCAATCTTCTGTGCAGTAGTCTGCTGGGGATGTGGAATATCAGACAGGGATAGAAGGAAACGGAACAAACTGGTCAGGAGGGCCATCTCTGTCCTGGACTGCCCTCTGGACTCCGTCAAGAAGGTAGGTGAGAGGTGTTAGCCAAGCTGTCATCCATCATGGACAACACCTCTCACCCCTGCATGGGACTGTGAGGACCTTAAGCAGCTCCTTCAGCAACAGGCTGCTACACCCACACTGCACGATGAAACGTTATTGCCGGTCGTTAGTTCCTTCTGCAGTCCAACTGTTTCACATGTCCATGTCCATGTACATATCCATCCATTAGCTCCATCCATAATCTATACACCACTTAATCCTCAGTAGGATTGCAGGGGAGCTGAAGCTTATAGATTAAGTCATGCCTGGTATATTGTCTCTATAAGATTTTTATTATTATATGTCTATTGTTTAAGCCTTACTGTTCTTTTGTAATTCTTGTCCTGCTTCTTTCATGCCCCATCTGTATCCAGCTGCAATATCATGTACATTTCCCCAGTGAGGGATCAATAAAGTTTACCTTTATCTTTTATCTTTATAAAATCTTAGAAAATATTGAAAGGTGTCCAGTCCCAGAATCCAAGATAGTACCCTCCCATCTGTCATTCTGTCCAACCAATAACTCAAAAACCAAAGATATGAAATTTATATATGACAAATAAATAAATAAATAAATCAGGAAAGCGTCAGATTTGAGAGGCTGAAATTTGACAAATTCTGCTTATCTGAAATGATTAAAACAGTTGGCCATTGTTTTTGTTGATTGATCAATTAATCTGCTAATGGTTTCAACTACATCTGCAATAAAATCTATAATACATGATTTAACAATTCATGAAGAACCAAATACTAAAATTGATTACAAAAATGATTAATAGATTTGGAATAGCTTAGGAGTACAATATAGATTTTTCTCCAATAGGAACTTTGAAGGTTACATATTCCACAAACAGAGCTTTATCATTCCCACATACTTCTGCATTTACAGTATTACCACAATATTATCTAACTGCTTATCAGTGGCTTATTAGAATTTTTTTTTTTTTCATAAAACAGCTTTAGAGCCAGTAGCAGAGCATCACTATGCAATAAAAATGGAAATGACTACACAGCATATTGTTGGCGAGAAAGCCAAATGAGGATACAGAGCATCCCAGGTCAATATTAGAAAAGATACTCTGGGCCTATAAAGTAACTAAAGACTGGTTTCTGTTGTCCTTACGAAGGTACATGTACAGTACAGTAAAAACTCCCAGGGCATATGATCCTTTGAACGTTGACCCCCACCCTGCTGCTCAGTGATGTGCCTGAGGTGCAGAGTGACCGAAACATAACTATCACAACAGTCCGATTAATTGCTGCATGACTGCCAGTGTCACAGGGGTAATGGCAGACAGATGTTGGCAAACGCTGCTGCTAGGCTTAATCTGGAGCCAAAAACATGCTGGCTTAAAGCTCTGCTGCTGGCTGCTTCTGGAAAACTGAGCAGCGTGCAAATGCACGCACACACGCATGCACGCGCAGACACACACACACACGTGCGCATGCATGCACACACACACACACACATGCGCACACACAAAACTAAATCTCAATCTCTTCAGTTGTAGCTCTCTAATCTGCAGAATGTCTTCTCTTCACTGCAATCTGCTTAATCTGGCTGCTGTCTGCATGGAAAAAACACAGGAAAGCATTGATCGCTCTGGACTTAGTTTGTGGGGATCAATGATAATGCCATCATTACCTCCCACTGAGCTACAAGGTGGTTTGGTGTTAAGCACCTAAAGACTGCTGCTGTAGCCACTTAGACTGAAAGGCTTTACACAGCTCAGGTGTAAGAGTGAGCTATAGAAAATATTTGCACTCAGAGATAATGACATGCCCGTCCTTGCCTTTAACTTATACAACACGGTCTGCAGTTTCAAAACTACATGAAGCCACTTTGAAAGTGTAACTGAATAGCTGCAGGCATGGTCATCATTATTTTCAAAGGTTTTACTTTGTTCAAACACTTCTTGATAGATGATGATTAATCTCTCGATAATACAGTAAACATTTTACATTACTCATGTGGAAACTCAATATGCATCTGATATATGATTTATCCTTTTTTCAGAGGGCAAAGTCCTATAACACTCTCAAATCAAATGTTCTGTAGTCATCTCAGGGGAAAAGGGAAACAGAAGCACAGCCGTCTAGCTGATGACCCAGATAAAAAACCTTTTGCTCGACATGGTGGGCACTGAGCAGGCACCGACTTTGTCAGCAAATTGCTGGCCAGGCCTATGAATAACGCAGACTGCATTAGTCTAGCAGAGTGTTAATTTGATTTAGACAGATGAAAACTGATGTGGTGCAGTAAACACAGGTGAAAATATCAACCAAGATCAATTTCAGAGCTCAAGACAAGTTTAACTCAACAGAGAGTGAAAGAATGTACAGGAATGTGTACAGGCACTATGCATCATGGGATGATTGATACTAAACAGGTCTAAACTGCTTGAAACATGCTAATACAGATTATTCTGGAGTTTTAGAGTTTTACCGAGATTTATAGATGCATAATGAAGCAACAGCTCTAGATAAAATATATTCATCTGAAGCCAAAAGAATGACAGCAGCAGGTGCTGAGCTCAGAGCCTGAATGAAGAAGTGGGGGTGCTGCTTCCAGGTTCCCAGATATTATTTGAGGGCAAGCACTTGTATAAATGTTTGAACAGTCTCTCTGCACACTGGCAGCGCTTTCTGAGGCAGTCCTGAAATTCTTCTATGAAGAAACATGGAGCACAGACAGAAAATGACATCCAGTTATAACAGGTTTTTACTTGGCCACAATCAAGTCAACTCAAGGGCCATATCTCATGTTGGTGAGATGGGGAGGGAGGCAGTGGTAGCAGCTAGCACATG